AAAAAAGAGAAAAAATCGTTCTGGAAGCTTGGGACTTTATCGGGAAGGCGGATCGGAAGTTGCAAAGTGACAAATGCATGCTGTGACCTGAAAGCGATGACCCGGGAGAGAAGCAGTGAAACGGAGAGGAGCACGTAGAGGAGGACCTCCCCTGTCGTTTTGGAGAAGAAATCAGCCCGAAGATGGAAGAACCAATTCGCAGGGTGTCTGAAAAGCCATTTATTAACAGTTTAACAGTGGGACACTACTAATTCCTTTTTTTTTAACATTCTTTTAACTGAGATGATGAAAGACGATTGACCACCACAATGAAGCCAAAGAAGATTTTTTTTAACTAATTTTAACAGACTAACAAACTAATGGAAACATCACTCGACCTTTTCTTTACCCCGCTATATACCCTCCCCCCTTTCTAATATAAAAAGCAATAAAGTTCTCTCCTTTTTAGGAGAGTTTATAAACGAGAAAAAAAAAAGCTAATAAGCCTTAATTCATACATTATCAGTGCAGCATGGTAACTGCCAAAAAGACTACTTCTGGTTGGATGCTCTGTTCCACCAATAATGTGTGGACTTATTGCTACTACTGTTGAGATGTAAAATAACCACATGAATAAGATGTCTCATGCACCCGAGACATCCAAATGTACTGCTATGAGATGGGTGCTGACTGGATAAATGTCTACTTCCTGGTAGCACATGAACTGTGACTAAGCTTAGTGGCTAAATGTAATGTGTTAATTATACATTGTGTGAAGAAGCATTACCTTTTTTCATTTATGGAACCTACCACCTGTCAATTTCATCAGTTGATTTCATTAGATTACCTTGTATGACATTTCATTGAGAGAAATTTCTCCCAGCTCTTTTCATACTGTACATAATTTTACAAAATCTGTTGACTCACAAACTAGTCTTTTTTCCTGTTCTAGAAAGCCCCAACATTTTAAGCTTTTTCTAGTGGGAAAGATGCTTCAGTGTCCTGATCATTTATGTTGACCTTTTCTGTACGTTTTCCAGCTCTGATTTAAAGTTCGTTAGACTGCATGTACAGCTGAAGTTGATGCTGTGTAACAAAAAGCAGAACATGTTGTGCTTAGATTATAGAAGCCCCTTTTATGCAGTAATCTTCAATGACAACCAATTAATTTATGTCTGAAAATAGATAAATGTCATAATAAGAGTGATCTAAACTCCTGTTTGTGGGAGGCAAGAGCTAAAAATGGGACAGCTAAAGGAGAAGTACATTACTAAACAAAATTATTTCACAATGTTAAATCACACTGCTTTTAATTGGTCTGGGCTGTTTCAGTTCTTAATGCTGAAGCAACTGTATCCCTAGGAGGCCAGTGTTCCCTTGAAAAATAGTGTAGATAAATAGAATTCCTAAGGGATCATAATGTTATTGAACATTTCCCTTTATCCAAACAAGGCATCTCTCTCCTGCAATGGGCTTGGGGGAGCAAACTTTCGTTACTGATATTGTATTGGCTGTACTTCCCCTACCTTCTTTTAATATTACAGAGTTTGCATATGTTGCATTGGAACACATACTTTGTATTGCAATTAAACTATATTACAGTTAGAAATCATTCTGGCATTACAACTTACTACTTCGTTAGTTCTAAAGGGCAGTTCTAAAGGGCTTATTTGAAAAGATTGTATATGGCATGGAGGGAATGTGACAGTATAATTTCTAGCATATACGGCTACAAAAATTTCTAGAAGACCAACGTTTCAAAACCCACGTTTGTGTGCCTTTTATACTAACATGTTTGCAACTAATTTTAAGCAGGGTTTCTCAGAATTTCAGTAAATTCTGTTAATTTAAAATAAAGTTTTGAAATTTTGCAGTTATAAGGGTGAATACTAAACTTTTTTTTCTACAAATAGAATTATGGGTTTTTTAATGCCACCATGTCTAATTTTAGCCTCGTTGTAGAACATGTTTGAGTCTTGGATCAGTGGAATGCTAAGTTTGGAAATTGGCTTTTCATCTTTACCTGAAGGTTCTGTTTTCTAGGGAAGCTTCTCTTTTTTCTTTTTTATAGTCTCATTGCTGTGTTTCATACTGAAGGTTCAGTCTTGAATCTAAACTTCATATTTTGGAGCTGTCCCCTGCATTTTTGTTAGCCTTTCAGCCTGAGAGCCAATACATATCTGTAGATAGAACACTGGAGACCTTAGATCTTCAGTTGGTTCTTATTGTGGCATCTAGAGTACACTCTTCAGTACTTTTGGGGGGGGGTTGGTATTGTGCCTCCTACGCTTTTATCAATTGACTATGCCTAAATAACAGAGGACTTTTCTCTTGGCTACATTAAATGCTTTTTCCTTTGATGCTTTGCTTGGTAGATTCCAATATTCAGGTAAACCTTGTGGATCTGGAGCAGTTGAAATGTTGGCTCATATCTTCTTTGATTATATGCTGATGGCCCCCTGGAGAGTCCTGGATTTAGCCAATGGTTGCTTCTGGTGCTTCTTCCACTTCCCTGGCTTTTTGCTAGCTGATACTGAATTTGGCATCATGCTTGCTGTGGCAAAACTTTTGGCTTGCAGTGGCTTTAAGACAAGATTGGAATTAGCGAGTGGTAATAGTGTGATTTATGTTGTCCAAGTCATTGAATTTTTCAAAATAAAGTATTATATTTACATAGTTTGGTTGGATCAGTTTTTAATTTATGTTCTTAAGTGAAGTGCAAGTTTAGTATAACAATCCAGACCTATCAGGGCCATGTATCAGCACGATTACTTCAAAACAAATCCTGTTAAATCAATGGAATGTTTTGAGGTGTAAGTTTAATTGATTGATCATGGAGAGACTTCTAGAGCATGTTAAGTTTCAGTATGGAAGGGTCTGTGGCTCAGTGGTGGAGCAGCTTCTTTGCATGCAGAAGGTCCGAGGCTTGATTTTCTAGCATGCCCACTTAAAGAAGACTCAGGTAGGAGGTGATATGAATAACCTCTGCCTGAGACCGTGAAGAGCTGCTGCCAGTCAGAGTAAACAATATGGACCTTGTTAGACTAGTGGTCTGACTCGCTATAATGTCTCTTCATGCGGAACATGAATTTAAAGGCCTTTTCATCCTTGTATGTCCTTACGGGGCATCTAAGAGGTGCTACATTCACTTCCATTGCTACTTGAAGTGCGTGGGGTTGAAGCAAAATTTTGGTAAGTAGGTAGGTGTGCGATTCCCAATTCTTATTATTTTTATTTATTTATTTATTTGACTTGCAGGCCACCCTCCCCTGCACGCAGGGCTCAGTGTGGTGGACAACATTTCAACAGATAAGTTTACAAGCAGTGTTCCCCCTAAGCTGAGTTAGCGTGAGCTAGCTCAGCTTTTTAGCCTCCGGCTCACACATTTTTGTCTTAGCTCAGGAAGGATGGCTCCAGAGCAAACTAATTTATGCAGTATCCAAATCACTCATGATTTTAATGCCAGTAGCTCCCAAAGTAGAATTTTTGCTCACAAGACTCCACAGCTTAGAGGGAAAATTGTTTACGTCAATAAAAACAATTAAAAACAGTGACAAGTCAATAGCAATTTCAATTTTAGATGGTGCTTAGATAAACTGATTATATCCTTACCCCGTGAGGGGAGGGGAAGGAAGAAGGGAGCCAGGCTTGATGGAAAACTGTTACTGTTCTCCACCATAGGCCTGGTAGAACAACTCTTGTCTTGCAGGCCCTGTGGAACTGTACGAAGTCGCACAGGGCACAGATCTCATTTGGCAGAAAGTTCTATCAGGTTAGTGCCAGGGCCAAAAAAGTCCCAGCTCTTGTTGAGGACAGCCTGATATTTTTCGGGCCAGGGATCTCCTGGAGGTTCTTCTCACCTGAGTGTAATGCTCTTTGGGGGGTATACTAGGAGAGGCGGTCCCAAAGATCCCAGACCGTTTAGGGTCTTAAAGGTTAGAGCCAAGACCTTGAACCTGTTCCAGTACTCAACCCGGAGCCAATGGAGCTGTTGAAGCACTGCTTGAATGTGTGCTGTCACTGGGGTTCCAGTTAGAACCCACGCTACTGCATTCTGGACCAGTTGTAATTTCCGGGTCAGTCTCAAGGATAGCCCTGAGTAGAGTGAGTTACAGTAGTGTAACCTGGGGGTGAGCATTGCATGGATTACTGTGGCTAGGTCAGGGTGAGACAGGAAAGGGCTCAGTTGCCTGATCTAGCGCAGCTGGAGGAATGCTAGTCTAGCAACATTTGTGATCTGGGCCTTCATTGATAAGGAGGCATCCAAGACCACACCCAGGCTCTTGACAGTTGGTGCTGGTGTTAGAGGCACCCTGTCCGGAGTCGGGAGTTGATACCCCAACCATGACTCCCACCCACTCACAGAACCTCCATCTTTGATGGATTCAGTCCCAACAGGCTTTGTTTCAACCATCTGGCCACAGCCTCCAAACCCTTGCCATCATAGCTGGGGCAGCATCTGGCTGACTGCCCAACAACAGCTATAGCTGGGTGTCATCTGTGTACTGATGGCAACCCAGCCTGAAACGCCACAACAGCTGGGTGAGGGGACGCATGTAGATATTCAACAGCATTGGAGAGAGGATTTGCCCCCTGATGGACCCTGCATATCGGGGGTATCAAGGTGACACCCTCTCTCCTAGCACCACCTTCTGTCTCTGACCTTGGAGAAATGAGGTAAGCCACTTCAAGGCCATCCCACGGACTCCTACATCAGCAAGGTGGTTGGTTAACAGGTCGTGGTCGACTATATGGAACACTGCTGTCAGATCTACTAATAACAGCAGCGCCGACCTGCCTCGATCCGTCTGCCTGCAACAATAAGTCTGTGAGGGCGACCAGCTCTGTCTCATGATGGAAGCCAGACTGGAATGGGTTTAGAGCTGACCTCTTGCAGGAAGCCCTGGAGCTCTTCCACCACCGCTCTCTCAGTTACCTTGCCCAGAAACAAAAGGTTCGAGACTGGGTGGTAATTGGCGGGAACCATAGGATAGTTTCTTTAAGAGCAGTGTTACCCTGGCCTCTTTTACTCCCCCCCCCCCCCCCGGAGTTATTCTGTCTGGTATGAGTTTTTGTGAAGGAAGTAGTAAAGCCATGTATGAATAAGGAGGGTATTTGTTCTGGCGTCACTCTACACATGAGGGTTAACAGGCAAGGGTTCATAGCAAGGAATCCCTTATTTGTGGTCACTGCTGATCCTTCCTCTCTCCCAAAACCTGTAGCACAAATAAAGTCTTTGGGGCAGGCAGGAAAGGCATGTAAGAATTGTTCTGCTTTTACCTGCTCAAAAACATGGCATGATATGAAAGGGACTCTCTGTTTTCCAGTCAGAGGTTTGGGGAGAAGGGATGGGAATGTCTAGTTGTGCTGAGCTTTGGAACTGCCTTCAGCCTTGTGACTGGATGTATAAAAGTCATAGTTTTGTACTACGACAGGTATTTCAGGTGAAAGTGAGAGACATGAAAGATACTGGAATGCTTCTAGTCATTGACAGGACTTATGCTATATGTCATATTCCTCATTGCGATACAGAGGAGGGAAAGAAAACCTGTTTCTGTACAAGAATATGTACAGGGCTGTTGTTTCACCTGTTTCTGCCCAAAAGTATAAAAAACAAAGCATACTTTTTATGCAAGGAGATAGCATCACTACATTTAAGCATAAGTTTTCTTCTGTTGTGTGATCTGGGAACTGATTTTCTTTTTCATTGAATCACAGGTGCCAGTGAAAGTGTAGGCAAACATATGCTTGAAGCTTGCAACAGTAATCTAGAAATGGCTGTCACTATGTTCCTTGATGGCGGAGGGATAGCCGACGAACCCAGCACTAGTTCAGCAAGTGTATCAAACCTCCGGCCACACACAGAGTATGTACCTTTGTAAATATCTATGCTGTTACCTTTGAGAAATAGCTTTAAAATGTGCAAAGTAGCGGTATCAGAAGATGTACTATGAAGGTCTTAATTTCTCTTACTAAATTGCTTCCGAGCAAAAGCTGTTTTGCATATTACAAAGAAGTAAAGAAGATAAAAGCAAATAAGATGCAGTTCATACAGTGCTGCATTTGTTATCAGTTTAAAACATTTTTGCCCCTTTTGGGGAGATTTTTCATAGCTGTTAAGATGAAAGTAAAGACTGTTTTTGACTGTTGTTGACGCTTGCACCATTGCAACAGCAAGGCAGAATGTGCATGCCCCCCTGCACATACCCACCTGTGCTGCTGCCACCTACTTCAGCTGCAAAGTAGGCTTCAGAGGCACTGCTTCGCAACCTTTCTGTGCACTTGGTAATGGTCAGGGAGGTTTAGGAAGTGCCACACTTTCCAGACACTCCTCGCAATGGTAGAGGAGGAGATGCATTCCCCATGCACCTGTGTCAGTTGCTTTGGCTCCAAAGTGGGCTGTAGAAATGATGCCTTTAGAGCCTGCCCTGACTGGTAGGGTCTGCAGAGGAGACATGGTGAAGAGCACTGGATAGAGCATGGCCACTGTTAAATCTGCTATAATGTGTACAATAGTAAAAAAATAAATAGTAATAAAAGTTGAACTATGAGTCTCTTTTTATCTGAATAATAACTTTTATTGACTACAAAACTTGCTTGTTTTCTATTTTCATCTTTAACTCTCTCTCTCTCTCTCTGATGGCAAAAACTTAAGATAAAAGTAATAAGGCAGCATAGGATGCAGCAGTTTGCAGCTTTCTTTTACACTGTCAAATGCCATAAATATGCCAAAAACATGTTAATTTAAGGTTGATAAGAAAATAAGTATTGCATTTCCCTCCCCCTCCAAATTTCCATTTTTTCTACCCCTCCTGGCATTTCCAGTGGCTTCAAAATTTCTAAACATTTTATGCCTCTACTCATGTTATATTTGAACTGACCCAGTGAAACATTTACCATCAGTTAATGTACAAACTGGAATAATGATACATGATAATCAAGCTATTTTACTCCTGTTCACATGTTTGTTTGGGTTAATTAAAAAAGTGACTGATGCATTGTCTTATATCATCAAAGACATATCCCAGTGGGATATGCTAGTTGTGCTTGAGCATTGTGGAAGAATTTTAGTGTGCTGTTCATGGAGGCTGAGTAGAATTCATTGAAAGCTCTGTGCCTGAATTTGTGATCAGTTGTATTCCTTCATATAAAGTGGTGAAATATTGTTGGAATTCAGTTTATCAATTTTTATTCTGCTTAAGAGCCAACCTGTTCTATTGTCCCACTCCAAACAATGTCTGAATAGCCATTAAGAGACTGGTTGAGCAAAACATAAATCCTGCTATCAACCTTTATATTTTTTATAGTTTGCTGTTTATATGGAATGTCTTTATATATTAACATCTGTACTTTAACTACTAGGAATGAATCTCTCTTCACAGTACAATTAACACTTTGTTCCACATAGCTAACACTTGACATAACTGTATAGATTGAACTGGGTTGTAAATCTCAGATATAGGTTTGGTGGACACGGCCCTTGTCTGTATTCTTTGGTATATTGTGCAACAAATGCAGTTACTTTCAAGCAGCTGTGTGTGTTTACTCTTTATAGAGATGAAGTGAGAGCCCCCATTCCTCAAAAGCAGGAAATACTGGTAGAACCTGAACCTTTATTTGGTGGTAAGTGTGTTTCATTTTAATGGCTTCCTCTCCAAATGTGACTAAAGAGAATTCTTGCTGGACCATCTCCTTATCTAGGTTCCCATTATCCTTTCCTCACCACCACACTCTGGTCTATATTTTCAGCATGTGATCTTGCAGTTTACATTGAAGTGTTTATGCTTCTATCATATTTCCTGAAGTTGCAATTATGTATAGACATCCAACCTTTCATATTTAATTGGCATTCCTGAGAATATATTTCATGTACTTGTAAAGGATATACAATTCCCAGTTTTTATAGGCTTGCCAAGTCCCCCCAGGGGATGGGTAAACCCCCGCCCAAGAGGCCCGTTACCCAATGCCAGCAAATCAGGGCCCGGGGGGAACTCCACCCCCTTCCGGCACACGTCCCCAGCGTGATGATGTCACCCAGAGGTGACATCATCACACTGGCCACGTTGGGGGTGGAACGCTCTATGATTTGAGGGAAAACTCTATGGTTTTCCCTCGGATCCTAGTGGCCCCGCCCCCAACGTGCCGACGTGATGACGTCACCTCCGGGTGGCGTCATCGTGGCAGTGCGCACGCAAAGCGCGCACACACAGACTCCCGGGACGGCACAGGACTCCCCCAGGGTAAGTGAATTTGGACTTGGCAACCCTAAGTTTTTAGATGGAGAACTGAGGCAGAAGAGTAGTGATCTATACAGGAGCACCCGATGAATCAGTTCCTGGTAAAATATTCTGATAGGCGGTATTGGCTCTTCTTTCTGACAGAATAATGAATATCCTCAATCTAAAGGGGGAATAGTTGATGTTCTTAATATAGGATAACACTGTAACAAGAAGCTGGTAGCCAGCTCTTCAAGGAAGCGTGGCTGCTACTTTGGAATATATTCATGAAGTGCACCTACTGTTTGTGATTAGAACCTATGTTATAAGCGTTATAACACTTTAGGCTACTTTTCAGTTTCTCATAAAATGACATGAGATCTGGTCCCTGAATGATGGAGGTATATGAAGTTACCTCCTCATCCCATCAGTCTCCACTTCCTGAGTCTGGGGCCCAGTAAAGCTGATATAGGTTGCCATTGCCTGCCTCTGCATTGCAATCCTGGACTTCCTTGGTGGTCTCCTAGATAACCCATAATGGCAGCTGAGCTCTCACAAGGTGAACTTGTTGCACACTTTAGACCAGGAGTGGCCAAACTGCAGCTCGAGAGCTGCATGTGGCTCTTTCACACAATCTAATTTAATATTAATAAAAAGATGTGCATATTTTTTCAATACAACTTGTATGTAATATTTGTGGGGGGTTTTGTGTTTTTTTTATGCCCCCCGGAGGGGATTTTTTATTGCATTTTTTAATAATCAATACAAACTACAACAGAAAAAGGGTAAGGGACTAAACTAGGGACAAAGCAAAGATACCCACTAATGACTAAAAACCCAAGAGAGGAGATCTTCTAATCAGTTTAAACATACATCAAGTCTTAATCTCATTAATCTCATTATGAACTAAATAAAAAAAAAATTTTGTTAACTTTTCCCCCCATCTTAACTGATATTAGGAAATACCCCAAAGCATCTAATTTCAAAATCTTCAAAAAGCACAATTCAGAGTCCTTCAGCCTTCATTTCTTTTTTCCCAGTCTCTTCCGCAGTTTATAAGGACTTTTAGGAGCTGCTGCCCCTTTCTCTGAAAGAGAGTCCTCTCCGGAAGATCCCGAGTCTAGCTCGCCACTGGACTTGCTGTTCGTCCCTTCTTTTTCTTCCTCCACTGGCCCTCCCAACTGGACTCTTAAAAATTCCCATGCTTTCAGAACAGAGTCAATCTTTTCTTTTTTATCCTTAATTTTGAAGGTAACGTCTTCTGGAATTAGCCATCTGTATCCAATGGAGTATGTCTGAAGAAAGAGAGTTAGTTCTTTGTATTTCTTTCTCCTTTGTCTTATTTCAAATGGAATGTCTTTTAGTACTCTGATGACATTCTCCCCATCTCTCAGGAGTGCTCCAGATACTGCTTTCAAGATTGCATCCCTCACATGCCTCTTTGAGAATCTTACTACAATTTCCCCAGGCAGATTATTTTTCTTTATGTATCCTGAATATGACCTAAAGGCCACATCCATTTCGCTTAACAAGAGTTCCGCCTTCATATCTGTCACTGGGGCCAATAGTTCACTCATCCTTTCCTTCAGATTCTCTCCCTTGGTCTCTGGCATGCCCTGGAAGCGAAGAATCATGTTAGTCTTTTCCATTTGTAATTGTAGCAGCTGATCTTCTGTAGAAACTTGCTTCTTTTCCAGTTTTTGTACTTTCTTCTTCACCTTTTGTGCAGTGGCGTCCACTTCTTTCACCTTCTCAGCTGTTTGGTTCATCATTTGCAAAGTCTCATTTATCTGCATTTGCTGAGTGGTGATGCACTGGGTAATTTTCGTCATCTGCTCTTTGAAGTTATTCATCTGGTCCATCAGGGGGTGCATGGATTCTGCCAAAGTCTTTGCCAGCTCGTTGGTTCCTTCCGGTTTTGGGCTCTCTGTTACTTTCGATTTCAAAAGTTTCTCTTTCTCCGTCCTCTTCCCCGCCACCATCTTTATCGATTGTTTACTTTTGCAATTTTTTAAAAAGTCTCTGAATATGCGCTCAAACACTCAGTCTCGCCTTGGTAAGTACTCCTTGACAGTTTTAACCGCGTTTTCTTCCACTCCCCCCCTCATTCGCTCATAAATTCATGCGCATGGGAGGCGTCCCTCCCCCGCTCGCCTGATTTTCTGTTCCGTGGGATAGGGTGGGGAGCTTTCTTTTCCCTTTAATCAACACTTAAGTCTGACTCACGTTCATAATTGGTCTTCCGACCTCGATTCCACTCCATTTCTGACGCTCGATCTCCTGCGCTTGCCCCGGTCAGCGTCACTAAGCCCATTCGGTCTCGCAGCACGGAGAACCGTCAGAACGGAGAGGCGCCTCAATTCTCCGGCATTACGCCATCGAAGAGGTGACCTCTCGGAACTTCCATGGCCAGGGTCCCTTCAGCCGGGTCCCTGGGGGGGTGGCGAACCTGCACCCCCCCTCCTTCGGCTGGAGCGCAGCTTCACCCCCGGGAGGTCCGGGAGGTGAGTCTGCTAGCACGCCGCCATCAACTGGACGTTTTCCAAACGTGTGTGTAATATTTGTTCATGTCTTGTAGCTCTCAAACATCTGACGTTTATTCTGTGTGGCTGTTACATTAAACAAGTTTGGCCACCCCTGCTTTAGACTTTAGTCAACCCCACCCCCTTTTAAGAAAACTTTTCATCTATTTCTCTAAATCTTGGGAGGGTTGTCTCTCTCAAACATTGTGTGGTTTTGTGTTTTTTTAAAAAATCTGCATGTTGGTGGCTACCCACTGTCAAAGAGTTAATGTCAAGACAGTTTCCTTTAGCCATGCTCTTTGGTATAATCCACATAGAGAGAACAGCATGGTATCTTTTGAAAGAGTTAGTTAAAAGTTGGACTGGCTTTGTTTTCAGAAGTCCCTCCACCCCGGGGCTGCCTTCCTTGATAGGTGTGGTGAGTATAGGACAGACATCGTTTGTGTCAACATAATCAAACATGATCTGAGGACTAGAAATAGAAATCATATTCTGATGAGTATTCATGTGTACGTATGGCAGGGATCTGCAACCTTCTTCAGCCTATGGGCACCTTTGGAATTCTGCCACAGGAGGAGGAGCCAACCACAAAATGTCAGGGAATGAGGTCATGTATAACTTTAATAGTAACTCTTCAATATTTCAGGGAGAAGCTCTGTTTAACAGGGTGACTTTTAAAACGAATGGTTTGTTTAAAAATATTTTCCTTCATATACCTTCAGTCACACAGTGAAGATTCTTGTGTTGTGGTGGCAGCATCTGCCAGTGCAACATTTTAAAAAATCTGCACAGCCAGTCAGAAGCTCTGCTTAGCAAAAGCTCCCACCTGACCCTGCCCACTTTCCAAAAATACTTGGCAGGCTCCAGGACAGGTTTTGGTGGGAACCATGGTAGGGATCCCTTGCATATTTGATTATAGATATTTTAGGATAATGTAATCACCCTTGACTCCAAAAGATATCCTGAGGCTTCAGCTTTTTTATTTGTAGATCCAAAATGCAATTCTATTGAAAGATTTTTTTATGGTTAATGTGTACTTCTATTCTTGTTCAGCTCCAAAAAGGCGCAGACCTGCTCGTTCAATATTTGATGGTTTTCGAGATTTCCAGACAGAAACCAGTAGGTATCTGTGGATCATTATGGTATTCTTTCACACACTATGGCTTTGGTTATTGGTTGTACCCAGAGCGGGCAATTTGGAGCCTTTACATTTCCTGATCCTGACTGTGTTGTGTACCCTGTTAGACCATTGCATCATATAGCCACAAACAAAATAACCCATTAGTATATGCATAATATCACTTTGCAGAGGAGGAGTGGACTGTAATTTAAATTAAGAAAGTCCCTGGTGTCAGCAGAGGTAAACTGCATATATTATCTGGAGAGCCAGATAGGTTCCTTCCTGTTTAGATGCAATTATTTAACTAAGTTGTTTTTGTTAAGTGGGACTGGAATTTGAGATCAGGCTAATTATAGCAGATAACTGTCATTTGCAATATAATTTATTAAATCAGTGCTCTACAAGTCCCATCACCAGGATTAGCACCCTCTCCTTTGGAAGGGGTGTCACTTTTGTACTGGCTTTTGCAGAAAGTAGAAGCAATGGAAGAGACTTGCACGTCTTTGCCAATGTTCCATGGAAAACAAAACATGATGTAGCCCCTTCTCCCCCCAAGTTCTGTAGCAGCCACACAAATGACAGGTAAAGGGCAGGGTTTTCAGAGAGGGCAAGAAGTGGCCCAAATCCATCTTGTCTACATCTTTTCCAGCGCTTCCATAGACCTTGAGTAAGTGGCCAAAAAGCTTGTAGCATTTCTTGCCCTCTGTGAAACCTCTTATAAGTTGAAACAAGGCCCTGTCCCTCTCCTAACAATTCTGTATGTGCGAGAAGACTCACTAAGGTTGGGGGAAAGAGGGTTTGTTTCATTTTCTTGCTTCTGCCTCCTGCAAAGCTTCAGAAAAAAGAGACAAATTCTCCCCCCCTCCCCCCCAACTTGAGCAGAGGGTAGAGGCTCTTGGTGGCTGCTGGCTGATAAACCAAACAGTAATTTACAGCCTGCTGCATATTAGATACTCAGCTTGGATAAATGCCATTACTTGTGTTCTGAAAGAGATTGCAGTCACAAATTTAAAAAAGCTATAGGTTGACAGTTCCCCAAGGCTTTTGTTTTTTGTTCCTCCTCCTCTCTCTCAACTTTTATACCACAAGGAAATGAAATTGCTCCTTTTTAAAGACACTATGAGCAAAAATAGTGTTTGTTGTTACAAAATTTATGTTGTCATATTGTCATCTTTGGACATTGTACTTTTGGATTTTTCTGTTAGGTTTTCAGCATTCCTAGATATTAGCACTGCAGATACCAGGGGTCAGTTAAACCAGTTATCAAGCTTATTGTTGATCAGGCCACTTCGAATAAAATTTTTCAAATCACTATTTGAGGCATGAGGTCTTGCATAACTCTTATTTTTTTATCAGCTATGACACATGTCGCCTTCATTCTAGCTTTTAGTTTCAAATGTTCTTTTCTCTGCCTCTCAATAATGCTTCATCAGCCTTTTCAGTATTGAAAAAATTATTAAAATGAGACATGTTTGACCTTCTAGATACTTTGGTTTAGTTCAATGCACAATGGATACAGTTCTTGACAGTATTTGAAGTTAAGATAAACATCTCAGTGTCTCATTCATATAAACATGTTAAATCTGTGGAAAGTAACCCACAGATCTTCATCGTGGTCTCTGTGCAGTCCCACAAATGGGTTGGGCGCCTGCCCACGACCTCGACCGGAGAACATTCCAGAGCTTTCCTCAGGAGTCTTTTTGGTGGGCTCTCTTCCCGCCCTGGGGAGCAGTCACGCACTGCACATGCCTGGAGTGGGGGAGAGAGCCGCCTCCCACTCAGTTCTTCGACTACCTTTGTGTTCGCACCTCACTAGCGTCGTTCTTCAAATTGCCTCAGCTGAGTACTTCTCTCCTGATTTCGTCTTCTTATTCTTTTCATTTCTCCATATTCCTACTTATTCTCCTGGGGGAAAAAAATTACTATTTTCCCTCACTTTCATTTCTGTCTGCCCCCCCCCCCCCCCCCCGGCCGGGGAGGTGTTTGTATGGGACGCACAAAATTCTTTAAGTCATGTCGCCATTGCCCAGCCAAATTTCCTCCCAACGACGGCCACGATCTTTGTTTGTTTTGTCTGGGCGAGTCTCACTGGGTTGATTCCTGTCCCCATTGCACAAACTACCCGTCAGGCCCACAGAAATAGGGCGGCCCGACTTAGAACGTCTCTCCTTGAGGCAGCTTTGTGCCCAACGATGTCTTCAGTTGCGTCCCAGTCTTCTGCTCCGCAAAAACACTCCGACAGTGCAAAACCTCTAAAGCACGAAGACAAACAGTCGGCTAAGCCGAAATCGAAGCCCTCGGTGTCGACATCGGCTCCAAAGCTCGATCTCATAGTGATCTCCGGTCTCTCGACATCGACTCCGGTGGTATCTTCTGCGGGCCCCACCTTCACATAAGCCTAGCCTTCAGCTGCCGCTGCCTACCTTGTCTTCACCATCAGGGTGTATTCCACCTGCTCAGCGTTCAGAGTCGCCTGTCCAGCACTCTTCCTCTCATTGTGCCTCTCAGTCTCGCTCCCAAGACTCCCATATGCACATCCACCTTTTGGATGACAGGGAACATTTCATGCTAAGTCGATCCAGGTTGAGGTCTCGCTATACTTGCAGACCACACCATTACCATCACTTGCCCTCTCCATCGAGATTGGCATCCGATTATAGATCCTGGTCTCCAGATGTCAGGCACCGTAGAGCGTATTACCCTTGCTCTTACTCCAGGTCTTCTACCCTTTGCCCAGATTCTTACCAAGATTCTTGCCGAGACAGCTACGGAGGCCAGCCAACTTCGTCCTATTCCAGGCGTTTCCACTCGGTAGCCTCAGTCCATTCCCTGGGGCTAGATCAGCATTCAGATGTATCAATGTCTGCAGATGCCCCAAAGCGTTCTCCATTAGAACCTTGGTATCGCCCCTCCACTGATGACCAAACGCCTATTGATGTCTCTCAACCACTTCAATCACCTTCTCCGGTCTCGATATCTAAACATTCTGTGTCTGGTGATCTTGACCCTGATATCCTTCCTATCGAGGACGAGACTCATTGCTCGGGTTCCATCTCTCCCACTGAAGGCCTGAAAGCCTATTTGGAGCTTGTTACGCAAATGGCCACAGTTCTTCAAGTGCAGGGTTCTGCTGAAACCCCTGCAGTGACTGATGTCGTTCATAAGTTAGTGCAAGCAGATTTGCCACCTTCGACAATTCTCCCGTTACTTCCAGTCCACCTTTCGGTCCTCAAGGAGTCTTGGGACCATCCTGCCTCCATCACTCCGATATCGAAATGTTATGATGGCCTTTATAAGGTTCAAGAATCTTTCGGAAAATTCTTGTTCAATCAGCCTCCACCGAACTCGATGATTGTACATTCCTCTTCTAAGTCTAAATAACCTGATCTTCGACGTGGTCTCTGTGCTTCACACCCATGGGATACAGTGCACATGCGCTGGATCGATTGGCATTGTAGCAAGCTCTTAACGGGTTTCGCGCCCAGACCTCAGGCATGTGCAGGAACCCCACTGTGCATGCCCAGAGGGGTGGGCACGGACATCCCACCAGTCCCTTTCTTTCCGCCGCGCTGGAAGCATCTTCCTTTCGTCGGTCTGATCGGTACTATTTTTTCCTCAGAGGCTCTTCAGATTTTTGTCAGTTGTTTTTATTTCTCGTTATTTTTCACTAATCTTTGTATCGTTCGTTCTTTTCTTAAAAAACTGTTAATGTTGAGGGGGATGTTTTTTCATTTACCTCAGTTTGGCCTTCAGGCTCCCCCCCCCACCTTTTCCCCTTCTTCTCCGTGTTACTTATTTTATGGAGAAGAAGTGGGGCTTTTTCAACCGCTGCAAGGGTTGCGGCAGTAAGCTCGCTCCACCTGACCGCCACACCCTTTGTATTTTTTGTTTGGGGGAGACACACCGACTAGAGTCTTGTCGGCACTGTGCTAGGTTTTCTAACCAAACTAGGAAAAACCAAGCGGCACGCCTCAAAGTAGCGCTAATGGAGTCAGCATTTCATCCTCCCTCAGCGATGGATTCAGAAAGACCATCAACATCAACAGCTCCGGCATCGAAGCCCTCCTCCGACGTCGGCCAATTGACGTCGAAGCCTATGGCATCGAAGGCGCAGTCTTCCACTCCAACGACGAAGAAGCTGAAGCCCAGCAAGGAGTATAAGTCCGCCAAAAAGGGTTCCTCCAAGTCCCTAAAGGCGGTGAAGATGGGAAAGGTAGAGGCGTCTGCACCGGCTAATGCCCCTAACGTGCCCCCTGCTCTGACGGCAGTATCAGTATTGGAGGCTCAGGCCGCTCCACCGATACCGACCATCCAGTTTATGGACTGTCCTGTACACCAACTTGACCAAGACATGTTGGTAGACATGCGTCCTTTCTCTGATATCGATAATGTTGAGTCCTTAGTCACCCCCGCGGCACGGATCGCTCTCCTTCTCAGTTGTCTACATCGACGGTCTCCGAGGCCCATGCCGATATTGATGCAGGTCGGCATCGACAGATCTCCAGGAGCACTCAGCGTCATCCCGTCTGATTCCTGAGCCTGTCGATATCGATGAGTGAGCTTATAGGGGCCGTTCTCAGAGACAGGACACTACGCTGTCTCCCGGACGCTCCCGCTCCAGAAGTTGATCTTTATGCCCCCACCTCCAGCTCTCTCTTGGGATCACCGCCAACTGCTATGGGGCTTATCCACCTCCATCCATGCCGTGGTTGACTCCGGCGGGATACTCAGATTGGGATCGTTACTCTACCCACTCTGCCCACAGATCATGGTCACCCCATAGATCCAGACCCTCAGCATCTCTCTTTCGTCCTCTGAATCACCCATCGGATGACCCTTCCCAACATCGACCGGATCTCTATCATCCTCCCAGTCCTCCGGTTCCACCACCGACGGAATCAACCAGCCACATTAAAGCGACTCCGGTTCAATTGCCAAACTTGGCGGTGGGACAGGTGGATAGTGAGGTGGAAGTATGCGTCTTGGAGGTCGAGAATGG